ACACTGAGAAGTAGAGAAAAGTATACATGGTGCTGTCTTTGTTTGTTTTGCCATTTAAATCATTGCCTAGCTAAATAATAGCACCTGGCTGATCTTGGCTATTGTCAAAGCTAAGCAGGATTGGACTAGGATAATTCTAGGATGGTAAATTATCAGGAAATACCAACTCTATAGGCTAACTGTGAAGTCACTTTAGAATGTAAAGGTAAACCAGTTCCATATGGTTGCCAAAAAAACTACATGGAAGTCTTAGAAGACCTTATCTTTACCTTTAATGAAACTGACAGGCAATATACTGTCATTTATTAAATAAACAATGGTGTAATTAGCAATAGAATTAGTTTTCAGTGGTGTGTTTGATAACAAATGCTTTTGAAATAGTGTGTTCCTTTAACATTTAATTTTGGGACAATATTCAGGTGGAATTTTTTCAAAGATCTTTGTGTAATTTAAAATGTTTCTCCATAAGAGTGAGATTTACAGAAGTAGGAAAATGCCTTATTATGTGATGTTAAGTGTTCAGGAGAGATTTAGACTTAGCCCATCAACAGCGGGTACCAGTTTTCCATTGCAGGCATACTTGATTCTGTTTATAAATCTTCCATTCTCATATTTTCAGTATGCTGACCAATTTGCAGGTAGGCTAATATTCTCTTCATTAGGAAGAATTAGATATGTGCAGAAAATTTTGAATACAAACTACTCTTTTTTGTGATCAAGATGTCACAATTTTGAGAGCAAGAAACAAACTTTGGACTTTGGACTTCTCAAGCAAATACAGAATCTTTTAAAGTCAAAACAGAGCTATTTTCTGGTATTTTCAATTCATGCCTGATATAGATTTTTTTTAAAAAAGACTTGCCTCTATTATTTATGGAATGGCATAGATCAGGGCTGTACAACATATGGCCTGCAGATTGCATGTAGCCTACTGAGTGACCTTGTGCAATCTCATGGTGTGTTTTTTTAAAGTAATTAATTCACTTCCTCTACCATCCCAAGCCCTGCTAGGCACCTCCAATCATCAGTTTTTCAGTGCCTTTTGCAGCATCAGGATGGGAGCTATATGGAAATATCTGGGGGAATACTATTGCAGAGGAAAGGTGCTGTGACAGAGAAACTTGATGCTCTGAGACGTGACATTATTTAATTGACTGATACTTTGTGCTACAAATTGTTGGTCTATTGTTTTATTTTTGAAAGTTGTAAAATATTTTAAACTTTAAAAATGAAATTGTTATTTCATCTTTCCCTACAATCTTCTGAGGAAATTTACTAAACTTATGTGAATCACCACTGACAGAGTTCCAACCTTGTGTTAAGCTATTATACATCACTCACTAGGTTTTGGCTAAATTTGATATATTAACCAGCCACTAATTGGGAAAGCATGGTTCATGCCATTGTGTTGTGTGTGAACTATTAGCAACCTATTGTAATACCTCAGGTGATTAAGTAAATCATGACTTTCATACTTACCCTCCCCATCACTATGTGTCTGCTTTTTCCTCCCTTCTCCTTTCTGCTATTCTGCTTCAAATGACAATCTTTCAGTTTAGCCAAGTCAGTTCTTCTCTTACAAACAATGTCTTAAATGTACCTATGAGATGCAGGTGAAACTGCTGCCACAGAATCTGTTCTTGGTGGAACACAAATATTCATCCTTTCTTCTTCTTCCCACTTTCCCTCAACTATTAGATGGAAAATAGAATCAGTCCCCAGTAAGATTTTGGCTTTCTTTTTTGAAAAATAAACAATGACATGATGTAATATGTTGTTCATTTGAGATTGTATTTACCTAATTTTAAGAACTGCTGAGGATCAGATGATTTTTACTATGTCCTGATATGCAAAACCATAGAATTCATAGAGAGTGTACTTTCTTTTTTATATGACTGTATAAAGGTTATTCAACATGCTAAAAGCATTTGTCATATTCAACAACTATTGGCTGTTGTTACGAAGGAATTGTCATTACCACAATCTGCTTTTCTTTTTCCTCTCAATTTTTTGTTTACTATTTCAGCTATTCCCTGCTTCTAATTATGGGTAGGGTTATATTCTTGTCTCAATATTCCATACATCCGATATAGACCACCAAAGTTTATTTAATAATAAATGTCTTTGTATTTAAGATGCTATAACTCTTTCTTATAAAATGGAACATTAAGACCAGTCAGTGATTTCATAATTTGTTGAGTTATTAATGGATCAGAATTGTCTGTTTCATTTCAATGACTTGTTTTAAGTAGATTGGCTGCTAATTTCAAAAGAGGATTAGAATAAATAGAATGCCAGGGTTCCCTGGTCTCAGAAGATGAAGAGGTGGAACTAGCACCTTCTCTCAATTTGAAAAGAGGTGGGCTGATCAAAGGCACTCAGGAAGACTATTGGCCAGAATGAACCCCTTCCCCCATGGAACAAATCCGGATCATGCTACCTTTATGTAAGAGAAGCTGTGTGCCTGACAGGTCCATTGGCAACAATTCTCCATTTACCTCACCGTTGTATTCCTGAATTCCTTAAGCCTACCCTCTCAAGCAGTAACCCTGAACCCTTATACTATATTGTTTTTTTTTTTTTGACCCTCTAGTACCTTGTTTACAATTTAAAGTCTTTCTTATTTCTAATTTAAGTTGGTTGAGTTTTTGTGGGCTGGGTATTTTGGGTGTGAGAAATAATGATTGTTCAATCTTTTTTGCCATTAAAGTTCTGTTTGGAAATTTTTTTAGTAAAAATATAAAACTTACTAGTGTGTCTGATTTCCATGGCCAGGACAGGTTATTTAAGAATTGTTCTTATCTTACTTGGAAACTTCTTATAGCTGCTTGTGGGTGCATGCATTTCTAGAATGTGAATATTGAAAATGTGGTAAACTTGGAATAAGAATAAGTTCACTTTTGGAGTTGTGGGGTCATGTGTTATACAAATACATATTAAAATGCACTAAACATGCCTTCAATTTTGTTTTTTTGTGATTATTCATGCATTATGCTAAACTCTAATGTGGTTTTGGATTTGTATATTTGTGACTCAAACCATTGTCATTTATAAACCATGTTTATTCCTTATTTAGTGGTTTAATTAATGGCTGTTGTAAGTTGTAGAACTGATAATTAAGATAAAAAGAAGTGTAAGCTTCTGCCTTTTATGATCAAACATCAACAGTAAAGGAACAAGCTGTTAAGAAATATGCTGTAGACTGGTATTCACGAAAGCCTTGAAAAAGACATTCAGATGTTTATATGATATGTTTATATAATAGTATAAGCAATGGTATTCTCTGCAATATAGAAAGAGAAATTGGATTTTGAAAAAGCAGAATGGAAAGACTATTGGAACTTTTGAAGTTTTGTGTTGAGGAAGACTCTGATATACAGTATACTGTGGACAGCCAAGGGTGTGTATGTGTGGAACAAATGGATCATTGAACAAATGAACTCAAGAGTTCTCAGTCAAATCACAAATGATCACACTCAAATTATCCTACTCCAGACACATGATGTGAAATTCTAGCTCTCTAGAGAAGATTCTAATTCTTGAGAAAGATGGAAGGAAAGGGAAGAAGAATGGGAGTAAAGTGGCTAGACTCAATTACAGTAGTGTTGGATGTTCCATTGGAAGACCTGAAAGACCAGCCTAGAGACAGATTGCCATGGAGAAAATTGATGTATGTGGTCATTCAGAGTCAACACTAAGTTGATGGCACATAATGAAATCTCTAGGACTTGGCTCGATAAGCAGTTAGTTTTATTTGAAATGACTGAAGACAGTACATAAGAATTATCTCTCCATGCACTCAGTGAACTATCGGTAAATTGTACTTCTAGATCTACTGTGGGTATTACTTCAAGATTACATAAGGTTAGTAATTGAACGTGGGATCAGTTGGTGTCCTTCAGAAAACCAAGTTTGTTCCTAATACTTCCATTTGAAGATCCTGTGAAGATATCTGGGAAAGGAAACTTATAGACAAAGTTGTTTATTGAATGTGGCATTGGCAACATTGTGTCAACAGCTATAGGAGAATTCTCTCAGGAATATATTTAAGTGCCCAATTACATTAAAGCAAAACTTTATTGACAAATTTTGGTACTGGAGACAGAATAAAGAAGCCTGAGAGGTATGGAGCACAAAACTTCTTTATTGATATATGCAAATCATCTTTAACTGATTGATTGCAGTAATAAACATTTGATTAGATATAAACAACACCAAAACTAATTAATTTTGTGATCAATAAGGTTAGAATTATTCATTGCATTAATATATATGCACATTAAAATATTTAATAGGACACATTAAGTATGAGATAATAAGACAGTGGTAATATAGAACTTTATACAATGATTCTTTTAGATTCAAAGGCCAAATAATTCTTGATCTGAAGCGTTACTTTTACCTTAGAGCAGGGGTGTCAAACTGCTGGCCTGCGGGCCAATTGCATCATGCTGAAGCCATGCCCATCCCAGCTCCGGCAATGCAAAAAAAGTTGCAATACGTCACAACACGTCACATGACGTGGCAAGTTTGACACCTGTGCCTTAGAGCTTTCTGAAAGCCTCGTCTTCCCAAGGCTAATTGTTAATTTCTTGCAGCTAGGCTTGAGGCTTTTCTTTAAGGTTAGCACTTTTGCTTATTTTATTAATACTTGTTACATTCTGTATCTCTGAGAATTTTTACTATCTACTGGCTTCCTAGCTCAGCTAGCATTTTTATTTGGACTGAAAAAATGCAGATGTGTTGGAAGCTTTTTTTTTGGACACCTATTTTTTTAAATCCATTGACTAGTTGTGCCAGGAAGACTAGATAAGATTCTTTGTTGTTAGAAAAAAAAAAGAATTGATTTCTTCTTGACCATATAGTATGTGATAGAGGTAGCAATTTTTGATGACTTATTATCAAATCTAACTAATATACCGATTGATACCAATCCAAAAGCTTATATCAATATACAATAGACAAATTTTAACTTGAGATTACCTCTTATTTTCAAACAGCCAAGCCATTTACACAGTTGGTGAAGGAAATGCAACTTCATCGAGATGACTTTGAAATCATAAAAGTCATTGGCAGAGGCGCATTTGGTGAGGTAAGATACCTTTAAAGCTCTCAGATGACTAAGGAAACATATTGTTGACTGACTGATGAATAAAGATTCTCCCAGTGGAGGAATTCTTTGTTTTGAACCTACCTCTCTTCTACAATGGAAGCTAGATAAATAAAGATTATCTGTATGGTATTATTTATAGTGTTATGAATTCATAACAACCATCCCCAGTGTATAAGTTAAAAACAAATACTACAAAACAAAAAGAAAGCAGGAGATTAATATATACAACACATTAACAAAATTCTCACAAAGGCACATATTTCCTAACTAAGAGCTTATGGAAACAGCCAGATCTTCCAAGACCTATTTAAAGAATGTCAAGATCAAGATAACTCAGACCTCTAGAGATTACTATTGCACAATGCAGGCACTGTGACAGAAAAAGCATACCCCTGAGATCCCATCAGATGATATCTTTTAAATACAGAATCTGGAACGTGCCCACTCTGTCAGATCTTACTGAATGGGCAGAAAAAATAGGAAAAAGATGGTCCTTCAGATAGCCAGGCCCAGCCTAGTCCATGAAGAGCTTTAGAAGTCTTAAATAACACTCTGAATTGCAACCAGAGGCTAACTGTTAACCAGTGCAGTTTGCATTCAAAGATGTTACACAAACATTTCAAGGTGTGTCAATAACTTCATCTGTTGATGTGCTCTAAATCAATTGTAGTTTTGGCATGGTTTTCAAGGGTCAGGAACCCCTTGCCATAATCATTCATAATTTATTATCTTTTTGTGTGGATTATTGCAACATGCAACAGTGAAGATACCTCCTGTCTATAGGTGGATCTACTCTTCAAGCAGGAGTTATGAGTCCAGATTACACACTAGTTTTCTCCTGGGGAGTACTACCCCATTTCAGAACAGAACAGAATAACAGTTGGAAGGGACCTTCGAGGTCTTCTAGTCCAACCCCCTGCTTAGGCAGGAAACCTATACCATTTCAGATGAATGGTTGTCCAATCTCTTCTTTAAAACTTCAGTGTTGGAGCATTCATAACTTCTGGAAGCAAGTTGTTCCACTGATTAATTGTTCTAACTGTCAGGAAATTACTTCTTAATTCTAGATTGCTTCTTGATTAGTTTCCATCAATTGCTTCTCATCCTGCCTTCAGGTGCTTTGGAGAATAGCTTGACTCTCTCTTCTTTGTGGCAACCCCTGAGATACTGGAACTATCATGTCACCCCTCGTCCTTCTCTTCATTAAACTAGACATACCCAATTCCAGCAACCATTCTTAATATGTTTTAGCCTTCATTCCCCTAATCATTTTTGTTGCTCTTCTCGGCACTCTTTCTAGAGTCTCAATATCATGGTGACCAAAACTGGATGCAGTATTCCAAGTGTGGCCTTACCAAGGCATTGTAAAGTGGTATTAACACTTCACGTGATCTTGATTCTATCCCTCTGTTAATGCAGCCTAGAGCCACATTGGCTTTTTTGGCAGCTGCAGTACAATGCTGGCCCATGTTTAAATTATTATCCACTAGGACTCCAAGATTCCTCTCACAGTTACTATTATTGAGCTTGGTACCACCTATACTGTACCTGTGTGTTCGGTTTTTCTTGCCTAAATGTAGAACCTTACTTCCTTAATTGCATTTCATTTAGTAGATAGCACCCAATGTTCAAGTCTGTCAAGATCCTTCTATATCTTAAGCCTATTTTCTGGACTGTTGGTTATTCCTGCCAGCTTGGTATCATCTGCAAATTTGATGAGTTCCCCATCTATCCCCTCATCCAAATCATGGAAGAATGCACGGTGTCAGACAAAAATTCCCAGCCAGTTAGTCTTATCAAGACTGAGTTTAAGTTTCTTCCCATCCAACCCCAGTAGCTTGAGATTTTCAATTTGGTATCAACAGCGTATTGATGATACATGAGTCTCTGTTGATGAATGACATCACCCAGTGTAAATGTTAAACAGGATGGGTGAAAACATCCAAACTAGTGCCATCCTGTACCCACTTTTCAATATCTTTAATACCAATAGAATTGACTGCAGAGAAAGAACCAGTGCAATACTGTGCCTCCACTCTTATTCCTGCAGTCCATCCAGAAGGTTACCACGGTCAATGGTATCAAAAGCCACTGAGAGATCTGAACAATTGCACCACTGCTGTCCTGACTTCGTGAAACGTTACTGACAAATGTGTTCAGTTCCATCTTTATACTATGCCCCAGGGCAAAGCTAAAAGTCCAGGACAAAAGTCCCCTGAAGTCCAATGAAAGTATAAATAGTTGTGCTTAAAAGATATTCTAGTCTCAGGACAAAGCTAACCTAATTATTCTCTCTGCTATTATTAGGACCAGTCTCTATTTTTAAATCATCTATCAAGTTGCAGTGTTCTTACTAAAGATGCCAGTATGTTATTCAGTTAATTTTGATTGTCCCCCAAATATATTTACATAATAGAAGCCATATACATTCAATTTCATTTAGGATAATTTTTTTTCCTTCAGTTAAAATAGTCATAGCTATTTTTCTGTGGCTATGTCTTATTAAAGAATAGACTATTTGATTTCTTTGTGTGGCCTGGTATCACTTGCATGATTCTCCAAAGCTTTTAGGCAATGAGGATTTCCCCTCCATTACTTGCTATCTGTTGTTTTTAATTTGGATAGATGTGAGTAGATTACCCCCCCCCCCCATCAATAAAGGCTAGAATGAAGAAGAATACTTCAGATAGTCTTCAACATATAGCCATTTGTTTAGTGACCATCCGAAGTTATAACGGCACTGAAAAAGTCATAAAATGAGACAAATATCACTTAACAACTGTCATTCTTAGCAATAGAAATTTTAATTGGGGTCATAGGTCAACACCTACCTGTAGTAAAATTAACTTTGCTGTTCAAGCCAAAACCTAAGTAAGAGGGTTCATGGAAACTTTCCCCTATGTCAACTGTAATAAAAATGAGGGAACACAATTCTCATGTCAGCCACTCCCTGTAGGGAACAAATTATGTCATTATGGAAAGTAGCCAAGATTCTTAATGATGGATACAAGTAGTGTTCACTTACAACCCCAATTTGGCACAGAATCTGGATTGTTAAGTGAAGGGTCATTAAGTGAGATACCAATTCACTGCTTCACTCCCATCCAGTTTTGCAGTGAGCTGTTGTAAGTTTTGCCGTTTGTTTCTTTGGGTGTTGTCTCTGATTGATGTCTTTTTCCCTTCATATACCTTGTTTTCTTTTAAGTTTTTATCTGTAACATGCCAAAAGTCAAGTGGCTTCAAAACTGAAATAAATAAATAATACTAGAATGTCTTGGAGTTATTTTTACTTTTTAAATTGTAGGTCGCAGTTGTAAAACTGAAGTGCACAGAGCGCATTTATGCAATGAAAATCCTAAATAAATGGGAAATGCTTAAAAGGGCAGAGGTAAGTCTGATATTTTCAATTCAGATTTCTTTATAAATAGCATTAAAGAAGATAACAGTGAAGTTTTGCCAGCAATAAACAGTTATTACCTAAGCACATAGGAATTTTATTTTTTTCCTGAAGATTTTTTTATCTCAAATATCATAATTTTGTGGAATTTATCGCTATCTGCATTATATTTACCAGTCCGTCTGCCCCAGTTTTTTTTCATATAGCATGATTTTTATTTACTATGAAAATCAAGTTAATTACTAGATGGAAGCTTGGACTTTGGTTACATTGAAAGTCAGGATTTCAAAGAAGGCTCATGTTTGGTTTCATTTTTATAAAGAAGTAGATTTTGCATAAATAAATCAATTAAGCATTGTTGATTATTAAATATATTTTACATATTTTATTTATTATAATATATATTTAATCTAATATGCATTATATCATATATAAAGGAAGAATTCATTAGCCAATATGTTTAAATATGAAGATTTATACAGCCTTATTTTCCTGTTCAAGCGTGCTTGATTCTCAGAGACTGCCTTGATCAGTCCCTGAAGTTTTCTTGGTAAGTTTTTTTTAGAAGTTGTTTGCCATTGCTTCCCAGTGCTAGGGCTGAGAGAAAGTGAGTAACCCAAAGTCACCCGGCTTGTTTTGTGCCTAAGTCGCCAGGTTTCTAGTCTGATACCTTAACAGGTTCACGAAAATGATGTATAAAAATATAGCTAAATTCAATAAGAATTAAAGAGTTTTTGGTAAACATATACAAAATATTTCAAATCCAATTGATTTGAATTTAAAATGCCTTAATTTGAATTCATAATATCCCCTCCAAATGTGAAACAGCTGTTATAAACTCAAAATGGGCAATTTCAACCATTTTGGAAATGGGTAAGTTTGAAAAGGTCTCAAAAGGCTTGAAACAGCCCGTTTCGTATTCAAAACAGTTGTTTCTCAAACTAGGACATTTCAAACTCTCATTTGCTTTTTCCATACCACATTTGTATAGATACAGGCTTATATACATTAGGGATCCTAAATCTCTTTAAATATTTTGAAGAAGTTGCTGAATCAGTGCAGATTAGTTCCCACTATGTTTACGTAGAAAAGTCCTGCTGTTCAGCACTTTATATTGTGTAAAGCTTTTCACATATTTTAAGGGAAGTTCCACTTATGATGAATTGCTGGATATATTCCCAAATTATAAAACATAGGTAAATGCTTCTGACCCAGACTTTAAACAAATACTATAATCTTTTCCACCCAAATAATATTTGCTGAAAAGTTATAATCTTGTACATTATGTCATAAGGAGGTTGATCTTTGTAGTGCTAATTTATAGCAGATTTAGAAATTTCCATCATGCTACCTAGGATAGTTCTAATTATTACAATTAGTCATTCATAATTATGTAATTATACTTATTCTGGGATATGCCACAATGAAAGAACTAGTGGTTAATAAAACTATTAGGCAAAAATAAGGAACTGGGTAGTTCATGCATGAAAATAAGGAAAAAGTAAATTGACCATGTGTTTCTGCACTAGTTGAATTTAGTGAAGCATATTTTTGAGTGATGCATAGAAATGTTCTGTGTTATGACCCTGAAATAATGATAACAGAAGCCAACGGACGATTGTTTAAGAATCTTCCACTTTTACATCATTATAGCTTCTATAAAAATGATTGCAACAGTTTATAGATAATGCTGATTCAGCTTCATAATTATTTGATATGTTTTGCAAGATATTTTTTCATATTGAAATAATATAATCTGGCCACTTAATGTTATAAAACAAAAATAGATTGTTATTCTCCAGGCCCTTAACAAACTTTATGGATTTATTCTTTGAATAGTGCAAAGGCGAGGTATTATTTTATACTAAAATAAATAGTGTAAAATAAGAAAGAAATGCTGCTACAGTAAACAGTGAATAATAGTTTCAGAGATGGAATAGAATAAATACCAGTTAACCTCCAAAGAGAGGCAGTTTAAAAATTTAATGTAAGGTAAATGATTCCTGGGCCTATCTGATACTATCCTTAGTATTGCCTGATTTAAATGAGTTTGAATTTGTTATTTTTTGTGGAAACCTGGAGAGTAGTCACATATTCATACAGTTTGAATGAAAAAAAAAAAACCACCGCAGTTTGAACAAATTAGAAGCTTTTGAAGAAAGATGCAGTTAGAAAACACCTTGCCACATCAGAGACTATTGTGTGGCAGTTCTTATGACTTATCTAATTCTGAAATTTAATGTTTAAATTTCTAATAGTGGCTGGAGTTTGGAAGTAGGGTTAATAGTTGTTTAAATAGACTTGGAATTTTGTGGTTCAGGCTAAGTCGGAGGTAGAAGTAAGAGACCCATGCTCTGGATCTAAGAATTCAAATAGGAAATTAGATGGAATATGTTTTATGATCTATGCTTAAAAATCCTAATTTTAAGCTTTGTTCCTAAAAACTAGATACTAGTATGGGTTTTACATCCTTTGTAACATAAAGCCTTCAGCCAGGACATTCATTAAAACAGAAGAAAGTACTTCTTCTGAACTCATAATTATCTTCCCCCTTTTGTTTCTCTTGGAAGTAATCATGACCCTTAAATACTTAAAGCATATAAGATTAGTGGGGTTGATTGAGGGAGAAATAGGCTCAGAGATATGTGACTTATATAATATACAGTATATGAGGAATTGGGCTCCCATTTCCAGGAATCATTAATGGATAAATTGAGCAGGATTGTACTGCCCATTCTCTAGTCTATTTTTGTTTTGTTTTGTTTTGTTTTAAGCAAACGTTTTGTAAGTTTCGTATTCTCTTGAAGGCTATCAGTATGTTCATCTTTAAGAGGTTAGACATTGCAGTAGGTATTTTTAAAATATTCAGATTACTATAAAATTAAAATGTTACTTCAAGAATCCAATGCTACCATGCTTTTTAAATTTGATTTTAAAATCATTTTTGGTTCACTATGAAAAGTTTTGTTCTTTGGTATAGATACTGAATTATTGCAGAGGTTTATTTACGAATGTTACAATTTCATATTACATAAACAATATAATTTTTGCATCCTTGTCTGTCAAAGTCAAGAGATTAATTAAACAACTTTTCTCTCACTTTTTTACTTTCTTATTTCTAGACTGCTTGTTTCCGAGAAGAGAGAGATGTTTTGGTGAATGGAGACTGTCAGTGGATTACAACATTGCACTATGCTTTTCAAGATGAAAACTATTTGGTGTGTGTGTACAACAAGCCTATAAAGAAGTAGTTCATAATCTGGTTTCCCAGTTCAAAATATTTTGAATTCAGAGCATTATCAACTGTATTTATCCAAAAGGAAGATTTCTCCTTCCCCCTTCCAGTTAGGCCATCTGTGAGGGGAAGGAGACTTTCATAGAATCACAGGGCTGGAAGAGACCATAGAGGCCTTCTAGTCCAACTTCCTGTCCAAGTCAGGAATCCTTGTACCTTCCGGTCAAATGATTGTCCAGTCTTTTCTTGAAAACCTCAGTGATGGAGCACCTACAACTTTGGGAGGCAAGCTGTTCTATTGGTTAATCATTCTCACTGTCAGGAAATTCCTCCTTATTTCCAGATTGGATCTTTCTCTGATGAGCTTACATTCATTGCTTCTTATCCTAGAATAAATCAATAACCTTTCCCCTGTGATAGCCCTTCAATTATTGGAAGATTGCTTTTATATTTTCTCTGAGCCTTCTCTTTGTTAGGCTAAACGTACCCGTATCTTTAGCTGTTCATTGTACGATTTAGCCTCCAGACCCCTTAACATCTTTGTTGCTGTTCTCTGCACTCTTCTTAGGGCCTCAGCATCTTTTTTGCATTGTGACCAGAACTGGATGCAGTATTCTAAATGTAGCCTCACTAGTGCAGTGTAGAATGGTACTATCACTTCCTGTGGTCTTGATGCTATCTCTCTATTGATGCAGCCTAGGAGTGTGTTGCTTTTTTGGCAGCTGCAGCACACTGCTTAAGCAGTGATTCACCAGGACACCTAGATCCCTCTCACAGGGACCACTGTTGAGCCAGGTACTGCCTATCCTATATCTGTACCTTGGTTTTTCCTGCCTAAGTGCAAGACCTTACTTTTCTCACCACTGAACTGCATCTTTTTGGACAGGGTCCAATCTCAATTCTGTCAAGATCATTCTGAATCATGAGTCTATCTTCCAAAGTATTAGTAATTGCCCCCAGCTTGGTGCCATTTTGATTTGCATTTGTTGAGAATACTGGAACAGAAAAAATAAGAGGTACAAATATTTAAACAAACCACTGAAAAGGAAGGAATTATTGTAGTGGAAATAGGAGAAACCACTGTTATAGCCTACCATCATCTTCTAATGAAGAGAAGACAAGAATATTTATTAGCACTCTCTGTATGCAATTGGTAATTGTTTGCAATGGAGAGATCTTGAGGATTCAAGAAAATCATCATTGATCAATGGATAGAGAAGCTCTTTATTGCAGTTCCTTAGTCTTCATGCATGAAGGATGATGAGATAAAAATGGGACTACGAAATTGAACGAACAGAACTAAAGTCCTAAGCATTCTTTCTTAGAAGTAATGGATACAGAATTTAATGGCATTTAGCCTCAGTTGTGAATGTGATTGCAGCCCAGTATGGAGACCTCCAGTTTTCTTCTTGCAGCTCAGAAACCAAGAATTTCTTCCTCACTTTACATTCCATTTACATGGAATAAGCTTGGCTAAGCAGAACTTCCACAGCATAGCACACATTGCAAATAAACATGCAGAAATTTATGGTAGCTGAGCCCACATTTCTGCAATCTCTCACTGCAGTGAGGGTATGCAAACTTGTGTATAATATCTATAGGACTGGTTTGTGTGTCTCTTTGTATATGCAAATTGGTGCTTAATTAAATGTACAGATGAGATACCTTATTTTACAGACAATTTGCAGTCATTAATTTAACTGAACAACAAACATTTGTCTTGGTTGTGTTCTTTCTTGGAAGGGCCTCTGATTCTGTTTTTTTTTTCCTGAAATATAGTAAGGAGTAAATATTTTTATAAAATAATTTGAAATAGAAATTGGCAATCACAACTGAAAAGTAGTTTAATCTTCTAAAATCTAGAATCATCTCCCTTTGGGGTGAATATGTAACTGTTTATTTTCTTATTTTGAAAGAAAAAAATCCAAAACAAACCATTTACACATTACTTTATTTTCCATCTCTAGTTTGCTATTAAGTACAATGAGCTAGAGTTAACTTAATTAGATAAATAAGTTGTTCAATTGAACATTTATCATCTAGCTACTTATCTTGGCACAGTGCTATTAATGTGTCATTTTATACACAAAATCTCAAAACTGCTGTTAAAATCTAGAAGTGGCCAAACCAGTTTGTGGGCCAACTGTGGCTTCTGTAATGTTCATTTTCAGCTCTGAAGCACTTGCGGACAATAAAAACTGGAATAGTATTGAAAAGAAACCACCTTTACAGTACAATCCTATGCATGTTTACTCAGAAATAAATCTTGGTGATTTCAATGAGTTACTACCAGGTAAGTGTGCATAGGATTATATCCCTGGTATAAATGTTTGGAGGTTCCTAAATGGTTTGCATCCAATCAGAAGTAAATAGCCATCTTGTCAAAAAAAACTGAGATGGAAAAAATACAAATAGTTACTTGGGATATTCTGATTGCTTTAGTCTTTGAGAAGAGTTGTTAAGGAAAGGAGTGCCAGAGGAAGAATTTCAAGTGTCTGAAATAGAGGCAGTTTTTAAGAACCTTGACAAAAGTACAGATGACTAAGAGCTAGCTCCCTCCTTTGTTCATATCATATTAATTCACCCATTTATTATCACAATGTTACTTTGCAGTCTGATTAGGCAGAAGCCTTAATTTATAATTTGTCAAAATTACACATAATATTGTTTAATATTCTTTAACAAGTTCCGTAGAGCACATTTAAGTCATAAAGCATATTTCACCCATGGTTTCCCTGTTGATGTATGAGACCATTTTCGATAATGTTGTCATTTTTATATTTGTTTAAGATGTGGACAGGAATTAAAATATTTTATTATGATCAGCCTAAGGCTAGAAAAAAATAAGAAAATAGTATATTTAAATGAAAATTTCTAATTAACAAGCAATTATTATGTATAGCTTGGCTAATCTATATATTCCAGCAATTTACTCTTCTGATTTAACTTTCTGCCAGAAATACTGACACTGAACTACTGAATTGTTGTTATTTAGATTTAATATAGCTGTCCACTCAAATGGAATGGAATAGAATAGAATATCTAAGAAACTTTTATCAAAGTAAAATTTACCCATGCAAAATCTACTTTGTTGACTATAACTGCAGTGAATCCCATTTTTATGATAATCTAATTGAAAGGAATTTATGCACATGAACTTTTTCATACAACAATTGAGGCAGTGCATTTTGGTTTTGCAAGTAATCTTTTACACAGATAATGACAGCCTCATCATAATTCTTAGCCTCAGCATAGTTACTGCATTATGTACCCACTGGGACCATATTTTAGCATCCTAAACCATACATTTCATTGATTTTTATATAGGACTTTTGAATTATTTTTTCCCCAACAAAGGAAAAAGAAAGAACGCTCTTGAACATTATGATCAGAATTCTTTTCATTCATTTTCCTACTAAATTATTCCTGTGACAGTTACTAAGTTTGAAGTGATATTTCTTTAATTATATTATATCTATTGAGGCTTCTCTTTTGTAAATTAGTATATGTATATGAAATAGTAGGGGAAGGAAGAATGTGTATAGTATGTGAAATAGCTTAAGTTAATTTAAATTCCCATGTTTATTTTAATTGAATAATTTATTTATTAGTTAAGAGGGAGCAGTTAAAGTCAGTGTGTCCAGTTAAAACACTCACTTTGATTCCAGTTTTCACAAGCATATATTAAAGCTGTATTCAAATGAACATTTCATTTAATCAGTTATGATATAATTCTGCAGTGATTTTTACCAGTAAGTGTTCTTGTTTTTTAGTATTTAGTAATGGACTACTATGTGGGTGGTGATTTGTTGACATTACTTAGCAAGTTTGAAGACAAGCTTCCGGAAGATATGGCCAGGTTCTACATTGGTGAAATGGTTCTTGCTATTCATTCCATTCATCAGCTGCATTATGTGCACAGGTAAGGTGTCTTATTGTGGCATATAAATACAGGTAGTCCTTGCCTTATGACCACAATTGAGCTCAAAATTTCCATTGCTAGGTGAGACAGTTGTTAAGAGAGTTTTGCCCAATGTTATGTTCTTCCTTTCCACAATTGTTAAGTGAACTACTGCAATTGTTAAGTTAGCAATGTGGTTGTTAAGTGAATCTGGTTTCCCCATTGACTTTACTTGTCAGAAGGTCGCAAAAGGTGATCATAGGACCCTGGCATACTGCAACCATCATAAATATGAATCATTTGCCAAGCATCCAAATTTTGATCGTGTGACTATGGGGATCTGCAACAGTCATAAGTGTGAAAAACAGTCATAAGTTCTTTTTTTCAGTGCCATTGTAACTTTGAGTGGTCACTAAATGAATGGTTTTAAGTCATGGACTACCTGTATTAAGCTAATTAAATATAAAATAAATAAAGCTATAGATTTGAAAAATACAGAAACAAATGGAATGTAAACAGTAAGATGTTGTTATGAAGTATATTTTTTCTCTTAAAATAATGCTCCTATTTATAATTCCAGATTGTGGCCATGCCCACCTTCAAATATTATAAGCTACTGGGGGCTCAAGCAGACCAATTTACCTTTCCCTTCCCTTCTCTTCCCTTGACAAGAGCATACAGTCAATATGCTCATTTCTTCCTTCTATAATCAAATAGTCTTTTAAATTTACAGAATGTATATTTCCACCTCTTCAATTTTTGGTTGGTTCAATTTAAATTACAGATTGAAGGGCATTATACAAAAATAGGGTTTAAGGCAAATGTTGCAGGAAATGTTTAATTGTAAACAGACCACATGGGTTTGGTGTGTGTTTAGAGGTGGAGAGGAACAGCAATACATTTACTCTAATCAAGCCAAAAAAGTGTAGTCCAGATGTAGTTATTTTATTGTAACTTTTAAAACAATTGTAATATGACTTTTGTTGTAAAATATTTTTAAATGCAGTAGTCATAATTATGACAAAAGTTTTTCAACCTCATTTTTAAAAAATCCATGAATCTACTCAAAAATTGAAAACCTGTGCCAGTGAAGGAAAACTTTTAATATCCTAATTGTCAGGCAATAAATTGTTGCACAAATAAGTCCTGTTACAGTTTTTCAAACTAATGTTCTGAACCTCAACCAAAGAACACTGGATATATCCTATAAGAATAAACAAAAATTTTGTCCATGTCTTTCACACAACAGTTTTATGTGTGCTTTTGAGCACTCTAAATAAATAGGTGCATTTCTTATTCATAAGTACCAGCATGGGCAGTTTTCATGCTAAAGTAACTATACTGTAAAAGACCACAGTTGCAACAAATTCAGTATGTAAGTGTAAAATCTACATGAAGGAAACTTCCTCATTTGCTTATGAGATTATATCTAGAATGTGATGTTGTATTTATGAAGAATAAAGAAAATACGTTCCTGAATTTAAGAATACTTATTTCACCTTTTTACTGTTGTAATCGTGAACAAAGTCTGTATATGTTTATAAACATTAAGACAGCACCAAAAATAAACTTGTCTCACATAGATTTTTTTTTTTAATGTAAGGTGACATTAGTTACAGGATTAGGAAGCTCAATCACTCCACACTCTCTTTTCTTTTAGGTATTGTCAAATATGTAGCCCAGGGTGTTGCGCTTTCTGTGAAGTAGCCCCACTTGTTTGGAGCCATTTACTAACTCCACCCTATTGTATTTTAGGAGAGCTGTTAAAACTTGTTTTTTAAAGAAGCACTGGGTGGGGATCTTGTATAAGTTGTACTTGGATGTTACTTGTTTGCAATGACATTAATTTCTTTTTAATAACTTACTATTTTGTACTGTAGTTTATTAATTTAGTATACAGTTTAGAACAGTATGCTTTGGTGGTTAAGGTACTGAACTAGAAACCTGGAGCCTGGGAGTTCTAGGCCTCTCATCTTTCATATGCCACCCATCCTATAGCATACGAGTCCTAGTAAATAAAGCAATATATCTGCACTATTTTATTTAATAGACTGCTACAAATCCTGAAATATCCTTTTTGCAGGTAAGTCAGTTCCAGATCTCGCAAAGGAATTAAACAATAATAATATTGAGTTGCTGTGGGAACTTCTCAAGCTAATTAGTCTGTGCTGGCATGTATTAAATATGCAGTCATCTGCATCATGGCATTAAAGATAAACTGAAGGAATAATTAAGTCAGAAGCAAGCTGGATTGCCAAAGATTTGTTTTCATATACATAATGTTACAAGTTCAGAATATCAAAAGGAGAATATTCATTTCTGAGATAGTTGAAACAGCTGGAAGTTGGGGGGTGGGTGGCGTTGAGTTAGTGGATGACACATAAAATATATCTTTGAAGAATTGGGTTGTGGATTTTAGTGCAGAACAGCATCTTATCACAAATGAAATCCACTATTCTGTTGTTACTCCTATTTTGTGTTCTTCACACAGCACAATGTAATGCTACAATCTATATAAAACCATCACAGACAATGTTGATTGTATAGAGCAGTGTGATTAAAGAGTTTGTTAATATTTCAGCAGGCTAATAGTTTTCCATTAAAGTAACTTTTATCTTGCTAAATATAAAATGGCTTTTGATAACCTTTTAATATTACTATATTACCTCAGAAAATCATTTGAAGACTTATTGCTTTGATCAGAGCTAGCTAGCAAAATAGAATTAACCTTTTAGAATATATATATATATATATATATATATATATATATATATATATATATATATATATATATATATATAGGTCTTTGGTTGTTCGGGTTTTCTCCCACGTAAAATTGGAAGTGTCTTGGCGACGTTTCGACGAAGTCCCATTCGTCATCTTCAGGCTGGTGCTTTCAGCTTCGTGCCTCGAGCAGCAGTGTGTGGTCTTGGCTGTTTCTTCCTTTTAACTGCCAGTGGAGGTATGAACTGATTGGGTGGGAGCTTGGCTGTGTTCTGATTGGGTGGAGGTGTGTTCTGATTGGTTAGGGGCTTGGCTGTGCTCTGATTGGCTGGGGGGTTGGCTGTGCTCTGATTGGCTGGGGGGTTGGCTGTGCTCTGATTGGCTGGGGGAGTGTTCTGTTTGGTTGTGCTCAGGTTAGTCTGAGTTGCAGAGGGATTCAAGATTTTGGGCTGCCCTGCCATTCCTTGGCTTCGCGTTCGTGGTCGTGCTTCCTCTTCATGGAGGGTGTCAGTTTGCTTCATGTATGGATTGGGGGGGTTTAAAGTGGCTAATGATGCAGCTGTGGTCTGGCTTCTGGTTTGTGGTCGTGCCTCATAGTCAGTGTGGCTTTGGGTGTGTTTTTTGCGTGGATGTTTGGTAGTGACATCCTGTGTGGTTTTTGTGAGTGTGGGTCTGGTATCATTTTTTGTGTTAGGGAGTCGTTTGTCAATAAGGGCGGGTTTCCAAATGGCTGGTAGGCGGGAGGTATCATCTCGCTTGTTCATGCTGTGTGGGCGTTTTTCTATCTCGATGGCTTCTCTGATTATTCTGTTATTAAAATGTTCACTTTTGGCAATGGTTCTGGTATTTTTAAAGTCAATTTCATGTCCTGTGGCTTTAAGGTGTTGGACCAGGGAAGATGTTGGTTCCTCTTTTTTGACTGAGTTCTTATGTTCTTCAATGCGTGCACTTATTCTTCTGTTGGTTTGTCCGATGTATGTGGTGGGACAAGTGGTGCATGGGATTTCGTATACTCCTTGATTTTCTAATTCAATTTTATCTTTGGGGTTTCTAAGGATGGTGGATATTTTTCTGTTTGTGCAGAATGCTGTTTTGATGTTGTGTTTATGGAGGATCTTACTGATTCTGTCTGTGGTGCCTTTTATGTATGGGAGGAGGGCTTTGCCGTTTTCTTGTTCTTTGTCTTGGATTTTAGTGGGGGTTTCTTTTTGGATTAGGTTTGTAATCTTATTTCTATGGAATCCATTGGATGTTAGTACATTGGTGAGAGTGTGTAGTTCGGGTTTTAGGTGTTGTTCGTCAGCTAAGCGTTTTGTTCTGGAGATGAGTGTCTTGGCTACAGAGTTGATCTGTGCTGGGTGGTGGTGTGAGAGAGCGTGCAGATAGCGGTTTGTGTGTGTTTTCTTCTGGTAGATGGTGTGTCCTAGGGAGCCATTGGATTTCTTGTAGACTAAGACATCCAGGAAGGGAAGTTGGTTGTTAGTTTCTGTTTCCATGGTGAACTGTATTTTGGGGTGTAGGCTGTTGAGGTGTGTGAGGAAGTTGTCCAGTTTTTCTTTCCCATGTGGCCAGATTATGAAGGTGTCGTCTACATATCTGAGCCAGAGTTTGGGTTTGTGATCCGATTTTTCTAGAGCTTGGGTTTCAAAGTGTTCCATGTAGAGGTTGGCAATGACAGGTGAGAGGGGTGATCCCATGGGTGCTCCTTCTGTTTGTTTGTATTTTTGTCCATTATAGATGAAGTATGTGTTGGATAGGCAGTGGTTGGTCAGATCTAAGATGTGTTTGGGGGGGTTATATTTGTTTTGGATAGCTGTCAAGGCTTCTTTGATAGGCACTTGGGTGAAGAGGGATATGACATCGAAGCTCACTAGTAGGTCGCTGGGCTGTAAGTTTTGTTTCTTTATGATCTCTATAAACTGGAATGAGTTTTTTACGTGTGAGGTGATGGATTCTGCATAGGGCTGTAGTTGTTTGGCGAGAAATTTGGCTAGGTTTTGTAGAGGTGAGCCTATGGAGCTGACTATAGGTCTGAGTGGGGTTCCTTCCTTGTGTATCTTGGGGAGACCATAGAGTTTGGGGCATCTGGATGATTTCTCTCTGGGAATGATTTTTGCTGGATCTATTCGCTAATGGGGGAGGCTTTTATTTTGGATCTGGTGGTTTTTTCCAGTAATAGTGCACGCATTGAAGAACATAAGAACTCAGTCAAAAAAGAGGAACCAACATCTTCCCTGGTCCAACACCTTAAAGCTACAGGACATGAAATTGACTTTAAAAATACCAGAACCATTGCCAAAAGTGAACATTTTAATAACAGAATAATCAGAGAAGCCATCGAGATAGAAAAACGCCCACACAGCATGAACAAGCGAGATGATACCTCCCGCCTAC